GGGGGGGGGGAACGGCAAGCAGGCTTTCTGCCTCCTGCCAGGCTCCGAGAATGCGGCCGCCAGATAGATGGGTTTCTTTCGGAACGAATAAATCTCCCTTTGCAAGCGGTGACAGGTTAACGTGCTTGGTATGGGGATCACGTCTGATTTTAACACAATATGGCTGGTAAATAAAACCTGATTGCTAACAGACCCGCTGTTGGCATTTTCAACCTCTACGCTACCTTTGCAGTTCTGCATCTTCACCTGCCACACCAACTCCAGTTCACCCTTCAGCCGGTGCACCAGGACTTTTCTGTTTTCACTGCGGGGTCGTAGTAAAAATTGCTGTTAATGTGGCTTTGACCTCTGCTTGCATGCTTCTGGGCACTTCTCCTTATCAGCATTGGAACAGCTGGCTCTAATACCAATTTAATGCACAGCATATCTTAAGGGAGAGGGGTAGGCAGACTTTTTTGCATGCAAACAGTTCAGGTATGTGCTGGAATCTGGAGAGTTCACTGCTAGGGAGTGGATAATGCAGCGTGGTGGTCAGGTGTGGAAAATGCATGAAAAAAGAGAGAGACAGATGTGTTTGGAGACGTAGTTGTGTTTGTGGCGAGATGATCCATCCCGCTGACTTAGGAGTACATTGGGAAGAACTCCCTGGGAGTCAGTAGCTTTCCTCTGCATCTGATCTGCTGGTAAACAGGACCTGGCCCTTAACGTGAAGCATTCATCGGAATTGCTCTGTAGGTAATTATGATAGTAATAAAAAACAGTCACCGAAACGAAGAAGGTGGCAAAATGACCTGGTTCTTTCTCAGGGCATTATGGAGTGCCATCCTTCTTGTGTTTGCTAATTACAACGCATGTGTTGGACCGATGCTGTGACAGGCAATGTAATTGAAGATGGGTTTTTTTTTCTCCTATTTGTTGTTTATTTATTTGTTGTTTGTTTTAATCTGTCATTGTCAACAAACAACAAATAGATTTTCGTCTGATGTTATTTGGGTCCAATAGCCATCTCGGTGCTGTGTTCTGCCTATGCCAGTCAGGAGATGTTTCTGTGGTTAATCAGAGTGAATGTATGATTGCTTAAGGTTGCTGTCAATGACAGCAGGAAGGTAAAATCCTTAAAGTGGTGTTGATATAGCTATGGATAAATAATTATCCATATGCATTATACAAGCATCCTTGGTTGATGTGAAACACGCTGGAGCTGCCTTGAATGAAGTTGTCCTGAAGGACGAGTAAAGCAACACTGCTCCAATTTGATGGATAATTAAGGAATGCTATTCAGTGCAATAACAGCAGTTGGATTAAAGTTGATGTCTGCTTGTATCCTGGTTGTAGCTCTGGCTGATGGTTTTCTTATTGTTCCTATCGCTTTTTTTTCCTGTCTGTATGTTCTGAGAACAGGGGATGCTGCTTTGTTCTTCAGTCAGGACAGCTGTGATTGTTCTGTTGTCCTGGTGGCAATCTATCTTGGCCATCACAGAGAGCAGGGTTTGTGTTGTTTTGTTTTCTCCAACCCAAGGCATGTGTGCAGCGACTGGAAGGATAACCATCGGCACTGAGCAAGCTCAGAGGTTGTGGGGGGCTTCTCAGAAAGCCAGTTACCTCAGACAGGGACGGGTTTTGTGCTTGATTCTTGGCTCCAGCCTTCCATTGGGGTTCCTGTGAGTAACCTTAAATCTCCCTGCAGATTTATGATGTCTGCTGTTTTCATGGCGGTGCCACAGCCGCCTGTAGCTCTGCTGATGTCAGTATGCATGCGAAGCTCATCAACATGAAGGCAGAAGCTTTGTTGTAGGATGCTACCAAGGAGAGAAGCTCAGAGATCTCTGAAATGGTCACATTTAGACTTTTTTTTTCATTGCATCTCTCTTAATTTGGCTGAGTGAGCCGGCATCCTGGAGATATTTTTTCTGGAGTTGAGTTCCATATGTGCCTACGCCTTTGATCAGTTGAGCCCCATGTCCCCAGGCTGATTCATTTGAATATAGCAGATTTTGTTTTTCTTTCCTTCCTTCTGAGCACACTTAGTACAAACAGTCTAATTCCTAAATTAGCTCAGTTTATCTTCTGATGAAACCAGAATATTTGAGTTAAGAAACACAGAAAAAGTAAACACATGACACCATCACACTGTCTGTCATATATGGCTGAAAGATATGCAGAAATATCCCATTTACTCCCATTTTTTTCCCCTGTGATTCTCAGGAGAGTTAAGCTGATGGCAGAATATAGCAGTCAGTGGAGATAAAGGGTTTACTTCACCCCAACACTTGGCCCAGAAACCAACCTTTACATCAACAGCGTATGTTTTTGCAATGGTTTGTGTTCCTTTATTTCCATTCCCAGTTCTCCTTGCACATCTGACATCCAAGCATCCTGCATCACTTGTGAAGGCAGTAGAGATGTGAGTGCGTGCTGAACTCAACAGGATCTTTCCACACCGATGCAAAAGTGCAACAGATCTACCAAAAGGGGTGTAAATGCGCCAGTGAGAAAGTCTCTCTTTCATCCTATCCACGACTGCAGTCATTTTTACTGATAATAAGTGGGCAAGGATTGCTTAACCTTCATTCAGAGTGCTGCTATCCTATATACTTGGCATCCCCTGATGGGATACATTTACAGCTCTGCTCTGCTCTTAAAGTGCTTTGCATACAGAAAGGTATTTGGTTGTCGAGGATCACTGACAAGTGCTAGAATTGTGGTGGCTGTTGAAACAGATTGTTGAGTGGGCACAAATACATGGGAAGGAAGGCAGACCTTTTTCAGAACGCTTTGCTGGTTGCACACACACACAAACACTTTGCATGTGTTTTATTCTCCGACCACCTTTTGCTTTCAGAGTTTGTCCATCCAGCTTCTTTGGCTTTAAGCTTTATCTCCACAAAACAAACTAAGAACCCTTGTAAAACAAGACAGATTCTCTGAGTCTTGTTCACTTAATTCACTTCAATTCGTTTGCACTCAAGGCCAGGCTGGATGTGGCTCTGGGCAGCCTGCTCTGCTGGTTGGTGACCCTGCACATAGCAGGGGGTTTGAAACTAGATGATCATTGTGGTCCTTTTCAACCCAGGCCATTCTGTGATTCTACGACTGTATTCAGATGACAGCCTGATCTGTAGCATAACTGGATTAGTAATTTCAGGGCACTAAAGCATTCCATTTCCTGAAGGAAAAATGCAAACGCTGTAGCACGTAAAGCTGACATGGCTGTTGTGCTGGGAATATTCTTTTGGAAAGGAGCATAAACATACAGGTGCAGTTGCAGGGACTGCTGTTTGATGCTCTGATTCAATGCTACCATTGAATCCAAGCTCTCCTGACATAGTTGCACATGAAATGAACTGAGTGGCATTTAACATCAGAGTTTATCTGCCCTGGGGTCATCCCAGCAATCGCACTGCTGCTCATTCAGGTATCACTCTTGGGTGGGTTAGGATATCAGGGCGTGTGTTAGGGCTACGATCTCAAATTGCTCTGATGTATTCATTTGGCAGATTTTTAATTAATGTTTTTTAGAAGCGTGGACAATTCCACTTAAAATCGATGTTTTAAAAAAAAAAAAACAACAAATTTTATCAACAATTCTGCTTTGCATTATTGTATTTATTGTATATATATGTATATATTGTATTTGCATTATTGTGACTCATAAGTCACCCTAAAACCAGCACTTAGAAAACTAAAAGGGGATAAGTGGTTGTATGGTTTAACTCTCCTTCTTCCTAATAATAGTTCTGGGAGCAGTGATTATAATATTTCTGTTTATAACATGTTGTGGATAGGAAATTTTGAAGTCTTGAGCTGAACAGGTAACATGGTGGAGGTTGGTTTGTCTGCTGTTGAGGTAGTCCACAAAAAGCCGTTGTGATTAGAGAATGATGGGCCACAATTGCTTATGAGCTGCAAATGGAAGGATAATTATAGGCTGTTATCTGTGATTTGTTGGCCCTGCTAAGTACTGCTGAGGGTTAAGGAAGGAAAAGTCCTTTCCATCTGTATGGTGGGTTAATAGCCCAGGTTTTTATTCTTTGCTTCCTCGGGATGAGACGTTTTGCTGCTTTTTTCTCCCTCCAAGGACAAAATATCTGACTTATTGGGAATTCTTAAGGACAGTGTCGAGTCGAATGGAAACGTGGCAATACTGAGTTGCCCCTTTTCAGGGAGCAGGCATGTAATGAGGTGTAAATTGCCCCACTCTCCATGTGAAATTATGGCCATAAGGGATCCCTTACTGAGCTGTCATTCATTTCACTTGGAGGAAGGCTTTCACTCACAAGTGTTGGGCAGTCGGGGCTGACTTCTGTCTACCATAGAATCACATGGAATCACATAGAATGGCCTGGGTTGCAAAGGAGCACGATGCTCATCCAGCTCCAACCCCCTGCTGTGTGCAGGTCGCCAACCAGCAGCCCAGGCTGCCCAGAGCCACATCCAGCCTGGCCTTGAATGCCTGCAGGCATGGGGCATCCACAGCCCCCTTGGGCAACCTGTGCCAGTGCCTCACCACCCTCTGGCTGAAAAACTTCCTCCTAATATCCAACCTAAACCTCCCCTGTCTCAGTTTAAAACCATTCCCCTTTGTCCTATCACTATCCACCAATGTAAACAGTCTCCTCTCACTTAAGCATCTGAAATCAGATGGGCCCAACCAGACTAATCCCACACCCCTGTATTATCAGTGGGCAAGGTGCATCATCTCATCCTGACGGGGTTGGATGAATCCCTCTGGAGG